GCCATATACAAGGTAAGATGCTTTATGGTGAGATATCACATCTGTTTAAAGCTCATGACCAGAAATCTGTTTATTCTAAAAGCAAACCTTTCAGCAAAAGAAAGATGAAATGACCAGTCAAGATGTACTTATTGTATTAATGTTACTGGGATTACCAAATTCAGCAGTTAAGATGGGTTGGTTTGTAATATTAGAAATAGGAGATGCGTACAAACATCTGATGGAGAAACCTGTACATGTGAATTATGAGACATATAATTAACATCTAAACATTTGCAGGTACTTTGTAAGCCTGGTGCTGCAGTTCCAGCTTCATCAAGCTCTTTGTGAAGCAGCTCATCACTTTGGACCACTACATACATGCAATATCTACCGATCAAGAGAAGCAGGCCGACTACTGGGGTGAGTGACAGTGTCAGACAAAATGATTCACTGCTAACAAACAGGTTCAGTTTCACCTTATCCATGTATTATTAATGTTTGAGAACTGAAATTATAGTTAGTACTTTTAGGAAGAATAAGCATCCTCCCCTCCTAATTTCCTATCCCACTTAGTTATTTCTATTGGATAACCCTGCCTTATGATATTATTTTTTTGCAGTTCAAGGTGAAAAAAACTTGGTGAAAACATAATTACAGAAATATCTGTGCCTCAGGCAAAACTTAAACTCATTCTGTGAAAAACCATACTTCAGAGTCTTTATGGTTACTGGGCTCAACAGACTGCTAATTTTTACTCCATAGAATTTTTAAAGTTCAAATGAGTACATAAATAGCTACAGAAACCTGTTCTTAAGCAATTCTTTTTAAATATAACTTTATTTTTATGTAGCTGTCTATTTACCTTAGTTTCATCACAGAGACTTCTTGCATTAAAACAGCTGTTTTCCTTACAGAGACATACTTTCACTGGGATCTTCAAGGCCTTGGCCCGAGGTGATAAGAATCATGACAAGGGGCCGAACGGACAAACTGGATGCTCGGCCATTGCTAGAATACTTCAAACCGTTGTCAATGTGGTTAAACGTGCAGAACCGAGATGAGAGCCTCGTTGGATGGAGTACCACTGGAGAAGACACAGGTAATTTCATCAGATTATATTATAAACACCATCTACACAAAAAATTAGTTGCTGATGCTAATCAGTTTAAATTTTATTGGTGACATTTTTCAACATCACTGTGTGTCATCATCTGGCCAAACTCTGTAGTGAAACTAATATAGTGTGTAAAACTTTTATACTGTTAAAAACATTTCAAAAGTTCAAAATGGAACTATTTACTTTAAAATTTAGTATAATTTTATGAACATACTACTATTATAACATATCTGTTAGGTTTTATAAGCTATGAGTATTAATTTTATAAGATATTGTAGATGCGTCATATTGTGATTTACATAGTATTAAAAATATATTAAAATTAGCCGTCAATCACAATATAATATTATTAAAAGATTAAAATATCAACTATTTATTTTGTTTTCTATATTCAATTTTCATTAATAGTTTGAAACCTTTACTTCACAGTCCATATACAAAACATTGACATCAATACGAAATACGAAATACAAACATATTAGTGACCTGTGATACTACAACGAATGAAGAAACAATATAAAGGACAAGAACATCATAAGAAAAATGAAGACTAAAAATCATTAAAAATCAGTAATTCAGTAAAAAGTTTAAATACATAACACCTGATGATGGCTATATATAGCCGAAACATGTCGTGTATGTTCCACATGTAAATCGAGTACTCGATAGGGAACGTAAAATGATATTTTAATCTTTTAATAATATTATATTGTGATTGATGGCTAATTTTAATATATTTTTAATATTAATTTTATGTACATAGATTTAATAATTTAAATGTGACAATCCTGCTCTGCTAGATCCAGTTAAATTATAATGGATTCTTATTCTTGTGGAACAAGTTGAGTATGAAGTTTTTATCTCAGTCTGCTGTCATGTAAAGGAACAGAATAAGAGTTAGAATTGTAAATATTTTTGGTTTTGGTAAATCATAAATTGCACAAAGCTATCTAAATATTTATCCTGAATTTGTTTTATACTTATACATTCTCACAACATAAGATTAAAAGCTGGAAGACTAAACACATCACATACCTGAATTATATTTTATTTTGTTGCAGCCCTGTTTGCCAGATGGTCTCAGGATGGAGGTTATGCTGTAGTACCAAGTATCCTTACAATGATATTAGCTATACTATTTTCCCTTGCCTAAATACATAAAATGTAAATAGTTCTTGTTAATATAAATTTATGAATGCAAACAGGTTTTGCCTAACAATACTTACATTATAAGAAAAGGTGTGAGTTAGAAGATAACATATTTAGCAAAAAACAATAGTTATCTCACACAACTTAAATTCATAATTGCCATTTCTCAGGTAGTAAAAATACCTTCACATGGGTTTGAGTTTAGTTAACAAATTACAGATGATGTTCTTAACTACAGTGACATAATCTTTGTTGTTATTCCACTGTTATCAGGACTCATTCTGAAAATATGTGCTACTGTCATGTTACAATATGATGGTTTATTTGTATTAAGTTTAATAAACATTTGTATAATTGTAATTTAGAAAAGGTCCTGTGATTCTCGTTGTTTCATTTTCTTCTAATTAATACTGAAAGAATATGTAGTTGGAATTCAATGAAAATAGTGCTGCCTTTTAGAATAAATGAACTGTAAAAGTTATAAGCATAATAAATTAGGAAATTAAGCGCGTTGTAGCAGTAGCATAGTCAAAGTTGTTTGGGTCAATGGCTTTTATATCAGTGGGATGGCTGGCTTGGTGACATCGTCACAGACGATTCATGATATGATTGCACACCTGTCTGGGGAATCCCAGGGTGACCAAAGTGGTCTGGAGATTCTCAATCCAGTCACTTACATTTGCAAAACAACATGCAATGATTACCATGGTAACCAATGGTAATCATCATAAACAAATCTGTATGTCCACAGTTCACACTCTGGCCACCAGATCACAACACCTAAATGTCCACCTCAGGAATTTACTCATCCATCATTTTGTTACCACCACTCATAGGATATTAAAAAAACATGATTTTGAGGTCATGCAGAATAGCACGATTTCCATACCAAATTTCATCTCAATATGTCCATCAGTTCTCAAGTATAATCGATTAGACAGATGAACGGACAGACACAACCAGCACATAATGTGTTCTCTCCATGCATTTTATGCAAAGAATGCATAACAATGGGATCCATGGGTCTCAATTATTAAAAACTATTGTCATACCCAATGGGACAAGGGTTCCAATCATTGCACAATCACCTGGGATAACATTACTGCAACAATGAATTGAGATCACATTAATGCAAGAATGACTCAAGATACAATTAATTTGAGTCATATTTTCACAACAATGACCTTCATGATGTGGTGTGAATAACATCACTGAAATATCAGTTTACCCCAAAAAGTATACACGTTGCTAGGACTTCAAGATTATTGTCTCTGAAAACCCTGATGCTGCTTTCGCCTTGAACATTATTGGTTAAGATATTTATTTTGGTTGACATCATAATTAAAGTATTATTGTGGGAAGAAACCATGATAAATATAATGTCGAAATAGTTTGTAACTATCATAAAAATTATTCCAGACATTTGAAATATTTTAAAAAATACTTCAGATTCAAATCTTTAACACAGTTATTGCTCAGATAAAAATATGGAATTTTAACACATAAATTCATGTTAAGTACTGAAAAACACATGTTTTATTTAAATTACTATGTAACCTTATGCAGTAAAACCAGAGTGTAAATACATCTCTACACATCATTAATCTTATAAGCAGACGGTGCTGAGCGGTCATCTTCATGTTCTAACCACTCTTCCTCAAGAAACATGACTTCCAGTAGCCGTTGCATAGAATGTTGTGTGTGTCAGAGCCAGGGATAGGGGAAAATCTTAGTCCCACTCAGATATAGAACTACAGTCATTCAGTTCGTAACCAATCTCATTCCTGACTGGCCTAACCCAGATGTAAAATGTTATCTCTGCCACTTATTTATTATTGTTATGCACACTGTTTGGCCTACACTGGAATTATTTTTGATAACATTTTATGTATAAATAAGGATGCTTTAATTATTATAAAGGAATAATTTACAAACATTTTGGTAATGTAAAGGAGTCAATATTAGAAATTATATAATATATTAGTTAAACTAGTGCTCAAATATGACAGTGAAATGCAGATATGTTGGAGACAAAACAAGAACAGAAGAAGCACAAATGATGGAAAATTCTGGCCTAAATCCACAGAGTCCTGTAATCAGGTCATAAAACACATTTAAAAATTAATTAAAAGTTATACAGGGATATTTCCTCACTCTCTAATGAATTCCATTTGAATATGGAGCTTTGTTTTTTCAATTCTTGTTTTGGCTTCTCACATATGCTACAGGAATCATCACACTTCAGCTCGTCCTTAATTGCCTCATCCAATTCAATTCCCAGCTGGTTGCCATTACAATCAACACAATAACACAGACCACGGCGACACTGCATTCTTCTAAAATTTCCATTGTCACAGCAAATGGGCAACTCTGTCTCACCTACTTGCTTCAATAAAAAACTTGTTCTTGCACAATCTGATAAAACAGAGAAATAAAGACAGTTGTCTATAAAATATGTTCATTGGATTAATGGTTTCATGGCAATTTTCATCTTCTGTCTTGTAAGGTTAAATTTTGTTGTCACAGAACTGGAAATGTGTCACTACGAAAAAATCTGTCTTCAGTAAGAGAATGTACGAAGCTGTTCTAGTGTGGACTATACCATTAATTATGGCATTAATGAACTTGAAAGGACTGGGGAGTAAGTGGTCACAGTCTATTTCAAGGCATTACTAAGTCATTTGACTGAGGGAAAACATGAAAATCCTCATTCAGGATAGTCTCTGCCATGGCCAATAAAACAAGAACCTGTATTACTACAACACCTATCAGAACCATGACCATTTATGAACTTCTTACAGACAGTTGGAATCAACACACTACCATTTATTTTAAAATTTTCTGCACTTTAAAGCATTTACATACCAACTTAATCTGGCTGTGATGATGTGCAAGCAAATTTAAAGTCTCATATCATAGAGGTTGAAGTGATGAAAATTATGAATTTTACTTACTGCAGTCCATCCCATTAGATAATGTGTTGTTACGCAGTACACTGTATCCTAGGCTGTTTCCATCTGGATCTACACAAATCTTCCTGTTGAGTAAGAAAGAAAATTAAAAGAATCTTCTTTCTTTACTAGGCTTGTCATGGACTGCACTACATTGGAATACACATAATTTCTATAAATATTCTTTGCAATTTTTCATGCCTCATTGATAGAGCTAGAAATTTATTATTGAAAAACTAATAAACAGCACAGGTATGCCATTGATTTTGAATATAACTTATTTTGTCTTGTATTTCATTACATAATCATGATGTCAAAAAATGCTTCACATAAAATTTGTAGGGGTTACACATGTTACAACATTTCAAACATAATCCACCAATAATCATATGTGGTAGGTAGATATTAAGTACAGGTCATATGAAATGGCATGATGCCTGGGATATGTAAGAAGGATGACAAAGTACCTGAAGCCATACAGTACTGGCTTCTACGTGTTGTAAGGCGAAGCCTCACATCCAAATGAGCAGCAGAAAGACACATATGTGTAAACAGATGGAATTACGATGATATTTAGGTAGATATTATTGATATATTTAGATGATTAGTTACATACAGATGTACTGTCAGGGAAGAAAAGGTGGTAGTAGGTAGGTGAGGGCTCTTCTGTGTAAAACTAGGGAGAAACACATCTTAACTTCAATTTGTAGCAATGTTAATATGACTGTCACTTACTCTGTATCTGTGACTTTAACTCTGTTGTACCGGCCATCATACTGGCAATTTGGTAAGCGCAGACCCACAGGGAAGATGCCTTCAGACAGTAGATTTATTCTGTCTTGCATAATTTTAGATGCTTTTTCTTCACACTCTCGCTTGTACTTGCCAGTCTGATGTATCCGATGGTCAACTGTAATACAACACTTAAGATTCTCATGCTAGTGAAAATGAAAATTATCAACTTTTGGGTTGAGGTGCCATTTTATTTTCAATGGCTGTATTTGCTGCATCATAAACCTTTGCATCTTACAGAACAGGAGGGGGAGGGAGGTTAGTATAATATACATTGCAAGTGCTGTGTTCCATACCACTGCCAAAAATAACTTTCTCTGTTAGTATAAGTAGAGTTTGTGTATAACAGAAACAGTGCTGTGTGAAGCTTTTTTTTAACTGGTGAATACCTGCTTTGCCCTCTGTCATCCTGTTATATAGGCCAAGTGTAATAAACTCAGCCAAGTTCAGATACCCAGTAAACTGATGTGTGCACAATAATTATGACTGACTGTAACAGAAATGAAAAACTGAAGATGACTGTCTTCTGGGTTGGTGTGCTGTATAGTCTGGTAGAGATTTACTGATGTTTCAAACATACACTAACATCTCATTGCCCTGATGATGGCAGCAGTAAGTACCTCTAAAACACTCGTAAACTTCTACTGGACTACATGGCACAAGAATCCAGAAGACAGCCATCTTCATACTCACTGCTGTAAGAACCCGAAAGAGACTCAAATTGTGTTCAGAGGAGAAAAAAGATATTAATAAGCTGTAAACTTCTTTCTGTTATTTTTTTTATGGAACTTACTAACATTATCACCACATCTTCATATCCCCAGTAGCCAAGACTGTAGCTGAAATGGAGGGAACAACCTTGGCACACTTTGTAAACACAGTAATGCCAAACAATGGCAGTACAGAACAATCATTCTTAAGACTAAACTCTGATGGTAGACTATTTTCACAATGCTTTCTACCTTTTATGCCAGTGCCATTGTAGTCTAGGAAAGCACAAAACAATATATTTTTGTCCACCACAATCAGTAAATTCTTTGTATTAGAATTGTGTTAATTGAAACATTCATGCTTACAGCACACTGGGTTATCCTCCATAATGTTAATTTCATGAACAGGATAGTCAGCACTGGGTATATTTGATCCTGTCAGAAGACATCTACACATGCCATCATTGCATTGCAGTGGGTCATAACTTCCATCCTCAAGGCAATGTATTGGTTCTAAATACACTTCCATTTCTGTGGCAAGCTGTTCAGCTTTCCAAGCTGCCAGTGAACATTCTGAAATAAACATTAATGACTAAGAGTAACTTTTATGCATACTTCATATGGGTGATGAGCCATCAGCAGTCAAAGTTTTTAATATACCTCAACTAATCTTGTTATTTTGGTTTTTGCCAAGAGCCTTTAAGTTTAACCTGCTTTACAGCTGTTATAACTGAGAAATATTTCACCTGTCCTGTTGTCATAAATTATTGATATCTGCACAACATAGCTTCCAACGGCTGAAGTAAAATGTATAAAATATCGAGCACATAAAAGAATGACAATGGCATTCCATCTCATCCCAACCCACTTCAAAAACTGAACAATGCAACAAAAAGGCCTATCCCTCACCAGGACTAATCATAACATACCGCAAGTCATGGTCTCTCGTAAGCTAGAGGCTGAATACACTTGTTCTCCAAATATCCTTTCTCCTTGAGGATTTACGCAGTAACAACTGTAACAAAGATTGCATGATGTTAAATATTTCAATACATGTGACCCATTTTATGGCAAAATTTCAGCTCCTTTGCAGATTATGAAGAAAGTCAAACAGATCTTGCAGTTTCTGACCTTATTGAGACTGTATGAAGACACCAGAGATGCATTATACACTGACGTGTGTATTTTATAAGGGACAAGCAAAACAAATGAAAATCATATTCCCACATCATTAGTAATTTCTTGTACTTAAAAAAGTTAACTATAATTTGATCAACTGTTTTGAGAGAGCACAAATTGAAAGTCTGAAAACAATATCAAAACCATTACATGACAACATTCAAACTGCAGTACCGTCCATTCAGATATGCTGAGCATATAGCATGCATGGTGGTTAAATATATGCATACACAAATATATGTGGGAAAACCTCATGGAAACATCTACTTTGTAAAAACACAACTTTCATCATTATGTAGGATTTGAGGTTTTCATGTCTTCTGGGTTGTTGCGCCATGTAGTCTGGTAGAATTTTACCGACGTTTCAGAGGTCCTTATTGCCTCCATCATCAGGGTTAAATGATGTGATGATGAAGGCAGCAATATTCTTGCAGTGACAATCAAAATAGTGACACAGCTTCAGCCTTTTAACAAACTACTACTGGATAACCATGACGTTTTGACAGTCATATGTCACCGCACAGAAAAGTATGTGTAACAAGTGGGAAAATATATACATAGCATAATAATTCTGGTGAATTTGCTAGAAACAACCTTTTACCTCTGTGAATGTCACCAGTAACGTCATAATTTCCTGGGGTCAATAAGCTTTGCATGAGTGGCGTAACTTGCACATGTCTGGTTGGTTAACGAATGGAGGAATCCTTGATGATTCCCATACATGCTTCCACGGTTGGTTAGGGGTTTCCAATTTTGTCACTTACACACACACACACAAACAAACACATGTAGGTATTCATTTAACGTATCTATTATTTTTTTCCAATTTTGACCAAAACTGGAATATGTTGACAAATTTTAGTAGCACTCCTCAACAACAAATTTCATGAAAATCAATTCAGTGGTTCTCATGTTGTTACATGTGGACAGAGTGACAGACAGACAGACATGGTTAAGTTAACAGGTGCAGTTTCAAAACTTTTAGTTGAGAATGCTAATAAAAATTAAATCTATTTGTTGTCTATTCTGTAACCCTGCTAAACATGTCTTCATTTACTTAACTACACTTTGTGAATTATGTATGGGAAATGATGTGGAAGGAAGCAATAATGGCCTGTTTTAAGATACTATCCCAGCATTTGCCAGGAGTGACTAATAAAAATCACAAGAACCCCACTAAGGATACCTAACCTTCAGGCAGAATTCTGAACCTAGGATCTCCTAAATATGAAGCATAATGCTAATTACTCAATCCCACTCAGTAACTCTACCAAATAAGTGACAAAATATTATGCAAAAATCAAATGCAAGATATAAACATCACTCATATGTTTACATTTGTTCACTAAATCCCATCTGACCAAGGACTGCCAACTTCATTGAAGGATGCTCATCATACAAAGGTTCTAGAGTTGAGCAGAAAAGGCAAAGGAGAAGTTCATAAACAGTCGAATAGTCTCTTCTCTGTATAGCTTACACCACCTTCATCAATAAGGCAGAGTTTCTAAAGTTTGTCACTCCTTGGTCAAATGGGAAAAACTACAAAAGATGCTAACACTTAATTAAGAATCCTTACTCACACTGAACCACCAATGCAATGAGCTGGCAGGTAATCCCCTCTCTCATCGCATAGAGGACGCACTCGTGTAAACCCCAATGACCCATTTTCTCTAGCCTGGTCATAATCTCTTTGTTCATTTGTACAATCTGAAATAACTGTATCAAAACGAAAACAAAATCTGTTATTTGAAGAATGAAATCTAATGACAAGGGTAAAGACACATTTCAAATCCTTTAACCCTCATAATCTAAACATACTCTTACATATGCACCTCAGACTTCTTATTTTAAAAGCTGTATAATGAAGAATGTTAACAACTTTTTAAAAATGCCTTCAAAATTATTACATTCTAATTGCTAAGTAATTTATGGCAGATGCAATTTTATATTGTAAGAATTTACGGAAATGCAACATAAGTATAACAAATGCAGGAGTCTTACATAATCGCAAATATTTCTGAGATTCACCTCCATAAATAAACTGAATGATGCTGTAATCTATAAGGGTTGTTGTAAACACATAACCTAATTTTTTCAATAATTTTGTTTAGATAACATTCATATTTGAGGTATATATGAACATCTGAGCTACATACTTTCTGATAAAAATTCTAGGTATTCACACATTCCCCTGCCTGTCCTACACATTTACAGATCACCCAATAGAAAGATGAACATGAAGACCATTCTTCAGTGACAAAAGTGAAGTCACTGGTATGACTGCATTCTCTATTTCAATTTTGCCTTTTGTATCAGTGCCTGTGTAGGCTCTTACATTATCATGTTGCAGAATATTGCTCTGTCAACACAAAATATTATGTCATAGCTCCAAAACAGTAAAAGAATTATGTGTTTCTGTTGAATGCAGTGATATTTCCTTGCCTGCTACCCCCTTTTAATTCTTAGGGATATTCAGCACACACATTTGCCCTGACTACAGTAATAGGATTTGGATTAATCTATTAAAACCTCTTTTTGTCCTCATGTCATGAATCACATTTCAGAAAATGAGTGCAGTTTCTTCTAAACATTCATAAAAACAGAAGTCAGAAGACATTCATATTTTTTTTCTTACACTAAAACTGAAATTTATCCAAGAAATTGTATATTTTATTATCATCATTTGACTTTAAGCTGAGGATGGGTTTTGATCCTATTAAACTACATCCATTTTGGAAAAGTTTATCATTGCATTAAGTGCATTAATTGTAATCGTACGCTCTTTCACGACTGGCCAATATAGACATCAGTGAAAGGATAAAACCCTAGACATTCGTAAAAGATTAGTCTCAAAGATTTCACAGGTGGACCATAAGAAAACAATGCAGAGACACAAGGTAAATATTGTTTCAGCAACTCATACAAATTATTTGAGGTTAATGTGTACAATACATATGAATTAGAAATGATGCAGAAATATTATTCCATTTCTTCACTAACACTTGTCACACAAAGAAGCAAAAACTTATCAATTCTGAATTGTATTAATTAATATTAATTCCAAATTCTTTATTGAGTGTGCCAAGCTTTCTAACCTGCAATGTTTCCTCCGCAGTTAAGGAAGCATGATAGTGAGTACAGATGCCGACCTATTTTGTTGTATTCAAAACTGTAACTACTACACCAATTATAATTACACTGACAAATACATCTTCTAACTGTACAGATTATGAAGTGCTATGAAGCATGCTGTCCACTCTTATTAAATAAATATAATGCACTTAGAAATTGAAACTTACGTGGGACACAGGCAGCAGAATCACTGTCACTTTCCTTCATGCACCATAATCCTGGCCCACATACTGCTTCATGTACAGGCTGTCCTTGACCATTAAGAACACAGTCATCCCCTTCTTCTGTAAATGTTAAGTATGTAAGTCAAATAATTATGTAACATACAGAAAATTTTACTAAAATACAATAAAAGGTTTTCAGCAGCGAAGTTTATCTGTAAGGTCTGAAACAGCAAAAAACAGACAATAGAATACAGAGACAGAATGTGAGCTTGTTGCTTCCTCTTTGATACTTCCAACTCAAATCTCAGTCCAGGCTACCCACCTCTTGTACCATTAGTGGCCAGTAAGTACATTAGGGGTCAAGCAATTCCTAGGATGGTTCATCAGCCACATTCTGGCAGGAAGAGACAAAAATAAGGCAGAGGGAATGTTCTACTTTCATCCTCATTTGGAATATAAAAATTAAATGTAAGCTGAGAATAGGTTATGACAAAAGATTCAAGCCAATAATTACATCAGGGAATATAATACAGCAATATAACTTCTGTAAACAGTGGCAGATGTCAGTTGCTGCAGCATCTGCACAATTCACTGGGCTCCCAACAAGATGTCAATGATGGGTCCTGAAATCAATAATCTTTAGCCCACTACAAAGGCAGGTGACCATTCTGATGGACCAGGGTGCAACATCCATAAGACAGTGTTGATCAAGATGAGTCGAACAACCTGTAGCAACTGTGCTTGGCTAAAAACATTTCTGTTGCTCTGATAGCTGTTGCCAAGAACTGGGGTCACACCATAGTCCAACAGAGCCGTGATGCATATGTGATTATGTGCAGTCAAGTTTTGGGGTGAAGCTTAGTCCAAGAGCTGGATATAGCAATGGAGCTACATAACAAGCCAACCAGTAGGAGAGTAAGACAAATCAGCAAAGCACACACACATAGCATTTCTCACTGACAGTGAAAGAAAGCAAGAAAATGGGATGTTTTGTGTACAGTACCTTCAAACATGTTGGGAGGGCAGGATACATACATCCCACTTAGAGCTGCAATAAGTATTATATTAGTTTTTATAATATGCAGAGTGTAACTTAAAAAAGTCTGGCACAAATGTAAAAGAGAGTCCTACACACCAAAACAATGCAGAAAGTTTGTTCAAACAAGGGTCTGAAAACACTTCCTTAATGCATGACAGCCCTGATTTCCTTTCCCAAATTTCCAACATGGCATTTATGTTAAATATTTTATGTTGACAATCAGAGTGTAAATTTCATAGCAAGTGCTTTAAATGTTCTCTGTGACCTCCTGTCTACATTACTGTTGCCATCTGCACTCCCATGTTCACCATTTCTTGTAGTGAATAATTTAATTTCCAATAAACATTCACCACAACCTGACTGATTTTTCAACAATGATATAGCTATCCTGTTCACACAGTGATTATCATCACACTTTCTATTGTTGGCATTGGATACCATTAATAAAACAAATTAATTTTATAGGGCAAGGATCCAGAATTTGGATGCTGTAAATTAATCACAAATGACAATGGTGCTGTTGATACTGAAGTTATCAGTTAAAGTTACAATATTCTCCCTCTTACCTCTGCTTCTTGGCATCCCTCCAAGCAGAGGGAAATCAACAAAAACAGTCACTGTATCAGAGATTTTGAGAAAGAAAAGAGGGCTGGAACTTATAAAGGTTCGGACCCATGTTCATAACAACTTTTTTTATTGTTTTGGTGTACAATTCATCCTTACATTTGTACAAAACTTTTAACCTTTAGTGATAAGCTATTGAAAAATATAATCAGCTGAACTGCCTGTAAGCCATGATGTACAGCTGATTAAGACATGTTATACCCTTCACATACCTGTGTGCGTGTGTACACAGACCTTCCATAATAACTACTGTAACAGTTGTGATGAACTTTGGCTATTGCATTATCCATAATACTTACCCAAGTAGACAATACAATAATCACAGCAGTTACAAAGTGAAGGATCTGGCAATATGATGCCATTCATTGTACTGGAGTCGCTACATTCATCTGGCAATTCATTGCATGGGAACTGCGTTGTTTGTTCCTGTAAACAGAACAAATCTTGAAATTATGAGTAATATTACAAGTATTGAATAATTCTATCACACTGTTATTGACTGCAATACATGTTTTTGTAAATAGTAATTATTGATCATAATAAACAGCATGAAACAAACTAACTAACTAGCTAGCTGGCTTACGGAACCCAAAGGTACATCACCAAATTAATAAAAGCCCCCCACTGGACTCTGTCCTGAACAGCATAAAAGGAATTGAATTAACCAACTTACTTTCACTATTCCATTATGCTTTTACACATAATCCATAAACTTACAAAATACAGGTTATCAGAGCACTTCAATGTGAGAGGAAGCAGTTAAAAGTGGTAATGTTGTTGCTGCAGCAATTTGATAGTCACTATCCTAGATTACAACACTGCAGTTATGTACATAAACAGAATGTCTGTCTTTCCAGTTTCATTATACATATATACGATACCAAACAACATTTATGACTTTATGTCACAAAATAGCTTCAAATGGTCTCAGTGGTTTTCATCAGAGTACATGCAGGCAAGACATCATATTAAAGTGAAAACCCAAGGTTTCTCAATCTAAAGTCTTTCTGCATTTTGTGTTCATTTTTTGCAATCCCAACAACATAATATAATACGTTATTTGCCCCAGTTCAGTTTTTCTCAAAGGTATTACACCCATTTAAGGAATAAAATTTAGGTCAATACAAAGAATATGGCCCCAAGTTCAATTTTCATATTAACACAACCATGTGCAATTCATTTATCACTGAGTTTGAAACCACAAGAAATACATTAACTCTTTCCTCCCTTGCTCATCGCCAAAGTCACTTGCTCCCCTGCCACCACCACTTGGTAAAGTCAGTTGATCACAAATCTTAGACTGCCGAAGTTGATAAACTGTGTAAAGTGTATAAATACTCATTCCACAAGCAAAGGTTCTGCAGCCTCCAAAACAATGTAGACTTTTCTGAACAGCTGAAGTACTTACCAACTATTCAGGAAAGACCATGTTCCAGGGACTAAGGTATAGTCCTACCTATCTACCAACTTGACGAATAAAGTGGTTGCAAACTTAAAATTGAGAATGTGCAATTCATTTGACATCTTACAATACAATTTTAAATACTGGCAACTGAATGTGATGTACGCACTACAAAGCAACTACCTGAAATAGTATTTAATTCATGATAAACTTACCATACAAAATTGTTCCGTGCAAAGGAGATCTACAGTTTGTGCACATATTGAATGGATTACAAGTGCCATCATGAATATTACTGCCACTGCCAACCCCATCTTCAACCTACTGCATACCCAAAGAAGACTTTGTAATTATGAGCAATGTTCACAACTTTTGTTAATTTTTTAACTTCAAGGAATTAATATAATTAAATTTTCAAAATATAAATAACATTCTAATAAGTTTTTATAACCAGCAATTCACATTCTATATAACCTCTAACACTTCAAATAAAATATACTAAACTACTACACAGAGCACACAGCTTAAACAATTTTAGACTGTAACAAGATTGCAAGTACAGGATCTGATCATAAAGTGGTGCCGCAACAAATGACAGGAGCACACCCTTCTGAAACACAGCACAATTTCAAACTTTTGTGAAGCCACACACCATACTACACAGCATCATGTACATTCAGCTCAATATATGGAGCTGATAAGTACAGCAAGCCCTCGATTTAATGGGCATCAATTTAAGAGATTTCAGATTTAATGGACACCACCTGGTACTGCACAATTTTTTTTGGACATGAGGTATTTTCAGTTTTAATGGAGGATTTTTTCCCTGATGGAAATTATGGTCTAAGGATGCATGAGTGGCATCATAAAAACAACTTTTCGATTCACTGGACAAGAAGCATTGCCAAACAACCCTTCCCCCTTTTAGTCTCTTAAATCAAGGGTTTATTGTATAGATGTCTATGTGATCTATTCAGAATTCACATTGGCCGGTGTAAATTTTACATAAATATCAAGCTTTGCTTTAAACTGCACAAAAACACTTAACATGCTTAACTTACAAGTAATAATAAAAAAATAAACTGCAGTTTACATATATTATACTTGTAACAAAATTAATTACATTAAAATCAGGAAACAAAAAACAATGTTATATTAAGCACTGGAAATGTCCACAGTATTCAGTGATGCATGCATTTACTCTTCTGGTTATTACATGAACAAAGACAATAACATCAAAAAATCTGTTCAGTGTTAGAGTCCTGCTAAAGATGGTTGTTCATTTTGGCAGGGAGATTACAAGTACAGAAGCTACAATCTTGAAAAAGTGTCTTTGGTTCTGATGTTTAAATGTAAGCAGTACATCAAGAAATGATTGTTACATAAAAAGCAGTTTGAATGCTACAAGCAGCATAATATGACTGAGGACATTTCAAAATTTTTGGTGACTCTGCTGCTAAGGAAAAGAATTGTCATTCAGCTATTCCAATACTTACACTGTTTTACCTTTGCTTTCTTTTATAGAATTCTGACACTATTTCACTGAAATCATATGAAAAATGCTCTGTACATATCCTATAGCTCTTTCAGTAATTAAACTGTTTCCTTCATAAGTTTATTTTGGAGTATTGACATTATTTTACTGAATCATGAAACATGCTCTGTATACATCCTATGACAAATCATACAATATTTAAAAATTTTCAGAATATTATATAGAACCACACTAATTTTAGTTAACATTTCAATAGAGCTTGTTTCAGTTATTATATTAGCCTCCTACTTTAATGTTTAAGTACATACTTCCTTCAACAACAGAATGAAAAACAAATGCATGCTAATAATCTTGTTATATACTGAACTCTGTCATTTATGTTACATTCTTGTTGTTTCTGAGAAAATTTCAGATCAGCAGTTTTGATGATAAAACATGGGGACAGACATGACCTGCCCATCATATGTTCATATTATGCACTTTGTATAAAATAACATACGGCCAAAAACACACACATTTATTTTACAAACGCCAGAATAATCTTTGTTCTGGTAAAGTCTTCCTTCTTGACGCAATCAACAAAGTTACTGATGTCAAACTTGTGTACATATACTGTTTAAAGATAAGCTTCAAACTTAACTTATCTGGAAAAGATAACATTTGTAGCTTATCATGAATAACACATAATCTTTACAACCGGATGTGATAGGAGTTTTACATGAATGTTCTATTTCTGACAATGATACCACAGGTGACATTTCAGGTTCTCATGGTGGCAAGTATGAAAATGACTCACGTCACCACCCTGACGATGGAGGAAGTAAGCATATCTGAAATCTTAGTAAACTTCTACCAGTCTACATGGCACATCCCCCAGAAAACAGACAAGTTCAATGACATCAGTTTTCAGTCATCAAACATTTTGGAAATAAAAATATTACAGACGGCAAAACTACACCCATTACCCATAACAGTATTGTAATGATACTGTTCAACAAATCTCATAATATGGTATGACAGCAGGAGGGAGATGTTTACTGATGGATACTACTGTACCAATCAAAAGGTAGTGTAGTCAATAAAGAAGTTTCTGAAATCCAAAATCCAAAGGCTATGTATGACAAGTTTGGAAAGGAAGGACAAATGTTATTTTGCTAATAAACAGGAACCACACCTAAATCACCATCCACATACAGTACATATGCACAAACCCAAGGCACGATTGTTTCTTGAAAGCAGATTCAAAATCCACTATCAGCTTACTGGACCTGTTATACAGCTTCACCGTAACACCAAAATTCATTCATTTTCAGGATTATTATAAAATCTTCTCAACTACCCTGGACATGCTAGTCTACATTTTACTTCACTCTGACAAGCTGTCTCCTATTCGTTGTCACCGTCCTATGACATGAAGGTAGTATCACACTTTAGAGGTTAGGAAAGATACCATGCCATGTGCCCTCTATCACTTACCTTCACACTGTCCATCGTTTTCACGCCCATGAATTGATAGTAAATAAACACTTATCTGACCCTACCCTAAGAGAAAAAAACAAGTTTCCATGATGCTTGGGACGCAGAGAGGGATGACACAGTCAGGAAGTTGGCTTCTGTGCATCTTAAGGTGAAGGTTCACATTTTGAAGAATATGTAGAATGTAACTAAACATAAGGAACATTTATTGCACCACCCTTTCACAGCCCCATTCTACATCTTGGAACTGTTTTCTACAATATTAGTTTGACAGACTTCAATTATTCACATTCTGAAATATTTTCTGATGTTCGTTCCACATAACAACTACACCTGTCTATGTTCTGTATCCTTCAACTTGGTTACCCTAACAAATACAAGGTCACTTCAAACATGTCAATAAATTGATTCCCGAAATTTCAAATTAAGAAATAAAAAATAAAAGCTAAAAAACACTTATTTTGTTTCAAAATGTACTTTCATTGCTTCACACAAAGTATCTATCACCAGTGAAGTTTTTACAACATGACAGCAATTAGAAGTAATAAGAGAATAATAATTCATTGGCACCACGTAATTATTTTTATGCTGCAGCTGTAAGAAGTGAAGAAACATCATCTCTTAATATTTTATATAAAGGACATTAACTTGTAAAATAACATTAGGGAAACTTGTATTTTGATTGAACACAAACATATCTATCAACTACATGAAAAGCAGCAGTACACATTTCATTAATGCCAGGGTCCTGCCAGCTGCAGTAGCTTTCAGTTCACAAAAAAGTAAATTAAACCACTACTGAATAATAATATATTTTTATGTGTGGAACTGAACACTATAAACATGATTTAATATTTCAGTATTTACTTTTGGCTTTGCTACCCACATCACAATCAAAAATTAAATACAATTTTTATGCCAAAGTTTAACACATGAATAACACAACAGTAAAATTGTAGAAATCCCACATGGCCTACAAGTAAAGCTTTCAGTGACAGGAAAAATCACCTAACAAAAATGTATTTTGTTCTAACAAGAATGGAGGAACAATGTTCCAATGAAGAATGTACAAATATGATCCCACTGTATCCTGTAACAGGCTGGAATAACAGAGTTGTAAGTTCTGAAAATTTATTACAAAAGAGACAATTAAAGCTACACATACTTTTATAATAAAATAATAATTTTAAAACAATGACAATTTTAGTGTATCATATATAAACACACTACCAATATTTAGTGTTACATCTCAAATTAAACTACAGACAACTAAACAAATATGGCTATCAACAAATGTTAAACCCTCGCAAAAATCTAGAATACATATACACTACAAAAGTGACTGTAACTTTGCCAAATTTATACTAACAGAAGTTAACTGTCACAGGGCCTAACCATCTCAAAACATCTTACAGAAAGTAACACGCTTCACTATAAATATACTGCTGAACAACTGTATATCAAGATTCCAGTTATGCGACTATGTAAAAACACAATTTAAACACTTACATAAAATGACATAACATGTTGCAATGCTACAGTGACCATAAACAGACTGCCTCACCTACAAAAATTTTGTGATAACTGTTGGTATTACTAAAGGAGAGCTCCTCAGACCCAAAGCAAAAATTCCCTTCATTTCCAGATAATATATTCTTGAAAATATTTTAAAACTTGTAATTTTTCTGAAGATGTCTTGAGAATGAAAGCACTCTTTCAATTTATCTTTCTTTTTAAATTATATTACGTCCAACATAACATTTATCCAAACATTAACGATTTTGTTGAAACTTGTTGAAGAGAAACTAATTTACACCAACTACTAAATCACCGGACACAATACTTTCAGATAATCTGACAGAAAAATATATAACTTATGGTATGCCAGCTACCTCTAAAACTTGTAGAGCTAGAAACTACTGCACACAGAATTTATTGTGGTAGTGATTGAGAACTCATTAAATCCTTTCATGTTTAATAAGAAAACAATTTTAGACAAGATAAAAAATCACCAGGATGGCAACAAATATAACTTGCTGTGAAAAGTTCGAATCTCAGCTGGGATATTGATTTGTTCTTGCATCTCTCCTGGTAATGCCACAATAGTACTTTACCTCTTTCCCATTCTTCCCAACTTAAAATTTGTATCATTCTACCAACTCTCATTTCATTTATCAAGAACTCTGTAGTTACCACACACAGTATCACCAAACAAACTATGAGAAGTGTTCAGACTGATTACATGTTTTAATTTAATTTTGTCTTACCTCAAATGTCTGTGTTTTGTGGCTTACACATGATTCAGATGGCCATGTACTGCAATAGCATAATGCTAAACTGTTAAATCCATGAGTTGAAGTTCAGCTAACAGCCCTAATACTGGGTTTTATATCAAATATTTCAGTATGATAAAAAGTGAATTTATTCTTGTTTATTTCTGTATTTATTAGTAGGGATCAGTGGCAGTCTTTTGAACAATGTATTGAACCTTCAGGTTCTGTAACAGATGGGAAATTTATTAATTACCTGAGTGACTTTCGCTTCTTAAAAAAGACTCTGCTCCATGGAGCCAACTTTTCATCTGATAATTGCTAGTGTCTAGCATTATCATCTTAAAAACATGCTCACCTAATGCACTGCTATTCACAAATGGAAGTATACCAAATTTCCACCCTCTATATGGTTTCCGTTAAAAAAACTGAATATCCCACAATAAAATCAGTGTCTACAGTTTACAATGTGGACCAACAAATGAATTATTATACTACTGCATCTGATATTGCAAATATCACCAACCAATGTTTGTTTGTTAGTTTGTCATGTAATTCAAATATTTTCCTCAATATTTTTATTTTACCAATGCCAACATACCACTGCCAAAAATTCATTTATTAGTTAATAAAAATTGTTAATTTGGAAGATATTCACCTCAAACAAGTTTATATAGTTCAAATTACCAATATCTAATCAATAATTTTGAGTTTTTTGTCCACAAACTGCAGAACATTCTTCTTAACATGAGAGAAAATGATGGTGCCCTAATCCAAATGTTTCAAGCAAAAGATGAGTTCACAACTAATGTTTGGCATAATATGTGCTGTCTTATGTCAATGTGTATACAGGTCCTTTTTTGTCAAATGCTCCTCCCTTTTCACACACCTGGTTTTGATAATAATTTCTATTCATTATATACATGAATGTCTTATCTTTCATGATGTTTCAGAAAACAAGAAACATGTTGTTTTGCTGTCACAGCTCTGAGCTCCAGCATAAAATTCCCCACTTACTCTCAGAATATCTAAGTGAATATGAGGTAGTTACAAGTGCACGAACAAAATTACTTATTTAAAAGAACATTAAGAATGACATGGTCGCAATCACTGAAGATCTATAAAAACAAAACTACGATCAACAACTGAAAAATGGAATGTTGCTCATATTGGCAACATGCAAAGATGCAATAAATAATCTCTAGGGGCAGACTATAATGTGTAGCAGTTATAAATTATTTTAACCTACAAAAACTTTCTCGATATAAACTGCTTATTTTATACCAGATTGGATTTGATAAGAATACATATATTACTGACTTCCAATATCACTGCAATGAGATCATGTATAAATAACTTTCAATATTAATTGTTATTATAAAATAATATTTGAACCCAGCAATGAAGATTTTACACTTCACAAGTCATTAGTTCAAATGGTTCATAATTACTGGAATGTTTCCACCTTAATTTTCCTCTGTAGACTGAACGTTATATTCAAAAAAAATTTCTAGATCATGGCAAATGGGAAATGTACTCCACACTACATTTTTATTAAGATTTCCATAGAAAAATTACTTTACCTTGACGCTATTTTGAAACCCATAATACGTATAATGAACCTGGCCTCAGAAGGATAATAACTTTCTGCCTTTTAATAAAAAATGGTTAATCTGTAGCAACAAAGGACATTCCAGTCACGTGAGTTTTAGACAGCATCACCTACTACTGAGAGAAAGTTGAAATTACAGATGTTTATTAAAACTAAATTAAAGGTTTGAATAATAAATCATTTATACCTGCATTAATTTTTAAAATTTGAAATGTTAACATTAACATGGAACCGAGACTGCAGAGTCAATACACCATTATAATAATTATAAATTATCGACATGAGTTTGGAACAGCAATAACAACAATGTTAAAAAGGCTGTGCTTCCATAGCGCTTTGAAAAACATGGCGCTTCTTTACCTGATCACATATGGATATCATTAAAATTTCAAATCTGAACAATGTTATATGAAGTACTGAACTCTTAGTCCTTTTACAATATTACGTTCATTTAAACAATCTGAGAGAATGTAGTAGCTATTATTTAGATCTATCAAAATAAAAATGAAAAGGAGAAAAGCTCTTCTGTGGATGTAAGTAAATAACATTAAAATGTGCATTCGTTAGTATTTGATGTCCTGTATCAATGCCATGTATTTTCTTACTAAATGTCACAATTATTTTCCAAGCAGGCAAGTAGGAAAACCAACTATTTCATAACAAGGTTACATACAAATCAAACCTGTGTGGCAAGACACAGAAACAAACTACTGATACTTATTTTCCAAGCTGTACTTACAATTGCTGAATTCTCTGGTTACAGTACATATGTATATATTTAAACACGTGTTAAAACTATTTGTGAGAAAATAAGATCATTTGCATTAATACTATAATAAGAAATATTAAAATTTGTCACTGAAAAATACTTCTACAGTCTTACACAGTTAAGTACAAGATAATTTATTCGGTGATTTAGTAACAAATGCAATTTCAGTAGCACCTTACAAAACACCACCAAATAATTAAAACCGTATAACCTAATAAAAAATTACAAGATAAAAAATGAAACTGGCAGTTTTAACTCTTAGTACAAGGTATTTATTAAAAGTTTCTCCAACAAGAAAACAAGAAGGAATTAAACCAACTGTGCATGATGGCCAGGGATCCAATGATTAAACAGTTTTACAACAGCTTTAACTTGCAGTCTTTAGTAAGAATACATGCATCCCTGGTATTTGAAATTTTGTAGTGTTAACATTAAGAACACAACAGAAATAAAATACAATATGAGAAGACTGAATACAGTATCAAGACTGATGAGACATCATGATTGAAATACATTAATGACCATTTTGGTTAGCAAATTTCTTATTGCTCACATTCAAATCACTGAATCCATTCCTTCTTATATGTAACCTGAATTTATGATTTCAACCATAAAAGCTCTGGCCACTTGTGCATTTTTGTACAACTGCAAGCCAGTCTGTGTGTAACCCCAAACTTCTTTTCCTTGTCCTCCAACACATCATAAAATTTACTTTTTCTTCTTTTGCTGACGAAGTTTCTTTTTCTCATCACGTTTACGTTCTTTCTCCTTCAAGCTCTTGTAAAGTTTGTATCCAAAGAATACTGCAAAAATAACCAGAAAAATGAGTTAAGTTTAATAGTCTCTGATGATGCAACATAATGTGTAATATTATTCTACTAAACTTTATTCAACAGACATGTGTTTTTAATTAAAACCACAATGTTTTGGAAGCAGATTCTTCTTCCATCATAACGTAACCAAGAACAAAGAAAAAAACAATATTCTGTTGGCCCCTCACCGAGCCAGTCTTAATATTGGATGAATTTTAGACAATTAGTAAAGACCAAAAGATTAATGCTGCTCTAAATGTGTTTTATGACAGTGTGCTGTATTGCGAATTTGTTTGCTTTGGACTTCATTCATCCTAGGTTGATTTTCATCATCATAAAATCATAACATTTTGACATTAACATTTTTTCCCCTGTCAATATCATTTCACTGATGCTTCATATTCACTCATGTATCACCTGAGGGCTGGATAGTGAGCCCTTTAGTAGCCACAGTTCCACAGATACAGTCTACCAACGTTGCAACAAAAACAACCAGAAATAAGGAGCCTCAATGTAAAAATTCACAACTCAATGTAAACCCAAAATAAAGTATTATTTAATAATGAAGTACACTACAAAAACTGTTTTGTGTCAGACTACATGCCGCTCCAATATTCCAATATTGTCTTGCCAACCACTTCAACAGAATAATGCAATAAACTGTACAGCAATACACAGTGCTCAAATGTGCATTCAAGTCACAGGAAGACACTTTACAATTTATGTAACATGTTTCATTATAACACTTTACTTTCATTTCACATTGAAGAAGTTGTTAAGTTCTCATTAAAACTATTTTCAGTATGTCTTCGTTACTTTCAACTACCACAGATGCCTTAATCTTTCGGAAATGGATCACTTCTGCTGCCAAAATCACTTGATTAATTTATCCATTAAATTTGACAAACTGTTACTGAATCACCATGTATGTATGTACATGTTCAGTGTGTGTGTGTGTGCGCGCATGTGCGCGCACATGTCTGTGCAAATTATACATACACACAGGGTGATTCTACTCCAGGTACTGATATTAACATGGCATCATACCTGCAAATGTGAGGTCCATCCAAATTAAGTTAAACTATAATCACTGCTGTAAAACATGCTACATGGTCTTCCATATAAAGAATGTGTGGCTAAAAACCACAGGTAATTACTTCACATAAGCAAGCAGAATAGCATTTTTATCCCTGAGTTCCTCCTACTGTAGTAAAATATTTCAAATTTAAATACTGAGAAAGACAATATTAGTATTTTAAATAAAATGGGGAAAGGATTCATAGAAACAATTTATGTAGACTTAAAACTGAAAATGTCCAATAAAATTTGGTTATCACAGTGATTCTAAGTTGTAGCATTACAAGGTTATAATTCTAGCAGCTGTGACCATTAAGTCACTTTTACAGCAACCTCTGCTGAAGGCATGATGTTAAAATGTAATATTACATTTTTTAATTCTCTGCATGAGACGAACGTGCAGTTCTTATTTTACATTTCACTAAACAATTACCTTAAGAACTATATAATTTTTAAAACTTAGAACTACCTACACTTGTAGATACAATACTCAAAACTGCACAATTAATGGTACTAGTGTTGTTCCAAGCTCACAAATTTACATGCTTGATATTGAGAGACAGAAATTACACAGTATGAAGATGGGAAGTTTTTCAATGGCATTATGTTCATGAAATTTCATAAAAATGAGCCAGTTATGTCCATAATACTGACATCAGTTTATTTTAATCAAAATTCTATACAAAATAATTTCCTGCCCCAAAACTAAATAAGAGAATTCACAAGGGTGATGAACTTTGTACTTTTTGGCTAAACCGATTGCTAACATTCTTTCCAGTCCTGCCACAACCAATCAAGTGATTCGATACAGTTTCAAAACATAAAATACACTTAAGAAATCTAAATGGTCTGGGTCTGCATTAAACATTAATAACTTTGACATGTAAACACAAGATTCATACCAAAAAGAAGAAGAACAGTAGCAGCACAAACCACTAAAAGTGAACTATTCATTATGTCTGATAAAAAACGATTCCTTGCAGCAGAAGCAACATGACCACTTAATTGCTGTTTCAAATTTTCTTCAAAATCCTTCTTCTCAGAATCACCAAGTTCTTTGTACTGTTTTATCATATCTTTGAAATGAGATTTAGCTTCTGGAGACAAATGTTCCTTAAGGTCAGACCATAATTCCAGAAACTTTTTCCCCATAGCATTATACTTTCCACCATCTGCCAGTGTCACACCATGTACATCCTCAGTAGCCATGTTGTTAATCTTATAAGTAACACATTAATCAAGACGTGTTCTCTTGGTAGCAAGTGTCCCAGTATCAGTAACTGAAATAATGTGATATTATTCTCCAATTCAATACTGAGACTAAAGAAGACAAAATTAAAGCAATACCATGACTATAATGTGGGGAAAAAAAAAAAAAAAAAACACTTGAAATTCTACTTTGCCAATCAGTTCTTTTGAAGAGATAAATTTATCAAACATATTTACAGTTACATTTCTATTTGATCTTTGAAACAACAATCTTTGAGATGCCGTTTGAAGATTAGATATGCAATTGCAACGACCTGAGAGACAAGAAATACAAAGGCACATCACAACACAGACTATCAGAAAGTAATGTTATCCTCATCCCATTATTAACACTTCTGAATCCTGATCAAGTATATGGTTGGGGAATTAATACTATAATGAAAGAAGTACAATTTGTATCAATCAGAAACTTAAAATTACAAAGAATAGGCATTTTAATATTAGAAACTTGTACAAATTTCTTACCAAAAACTGTTGTACTGATCGACAAGAAAGTCAGAAGAACAAATAACTGGTTACTTAGAAGCTG